GCTCCTTGGGTGCCTGGTGCGGAGCTCCGAGCCAGGCCCCAGAAGGTACAGGGTCACCCTGGCGCCCGGAACAGATGAATGCACCAAACAGAAGGGAAACCCGATGCCTAGGGGGTCTGTCACCTGCCCAAGGTCACAGGGGAGTGGGTGGGGAGGGTGACACTAGCTGGGTCAGGCCATCATAGGCTGGAATGCGTCCCCTTTCTGATCTCCCTTTTTAGAGGGGCTCTCCAAAGGCGGGCAGGACCATTAGTCACCTCTGAGACCTCGGCCCGGCTAGGAGAATGACATGGGTTTGGAAAGGGCTGGCAACTTGTCCCAAGTCAGAATTTTCTGGCCCTTGAGCACTGCTTTAGAGTGGACATGGGTTTGAGACCCCCACAAAGGGTTTCCACTTTGCCTCTCGTGGGCAGAATGGTCTAGAATGAGGTCAGAATCAGAGCTCTTGCCATGACCACACACCTATATCTGCAGCAGAGCCCCACGGCCACAAATGCAACGGGGGACCTCGGCCAGGTCCTCCCCACACCAGGACTCAGTTTCCCCCCCTGCTCTGTGAGTGTGTGTGCCATGGCAGGGAGGGGTGTGGAGAGGGCACTGGTCTCTGTGTCCTTCCTGCTCAGCGGAACCCTAGACACAGGTCTTTGCTGTCTTTAGAAGAAACCCAGGGGTTCTGACAGGTCTCCCAAAGATTCTTTAGGGGCCTAAGAAGGCGTGGTCTCTCTGTACCGGGGTCACCCCCCTGTGTCCCCACTAGGCCTCCAGGGAGTTCTTAGCTGCTCCGGCCAGGTGGGTTCTTGGTCCCTGCTAGGCGACCCACATGGCAACCACGGGACACACCACACTGACCTCCAGCTCACCTCTGGGGGTGCCCAGCCCCCTCTGGTCAGCAGGGCTGCCTGGCAGAACATTCCAGGTTCAGACCAGGCCCTGACCTCAGGCGTTCCCTCCTACTCCTCAGGCCCCCTCCCCAGCTGCAGCGCCCACTCTGTCTGTCCTGGCTCCCAGCCACTCGGGCTGGAGGGGGCGGAGGGGCGCGACAGCTGTGTGGCGATGGTGGCTGCCCCTTCCTGCCCCTCCCCCCCAGCTGTCGCTCTCCTGACAGCTGCCCAATCAAAGGGCTGGGGGCTTAGCCAGCTCCCCCCCACAGGCAAGGATCAAGTGTCCACCCTGGCTTTGTTCTGGAGCAAGAACAATCCAGGGGAGGGAGGGCTCCTGGGGCTAGGCCTCTGACTGGCCCGCCCCTTGGGGGATTCCTCTGCTCTCCTCTGCCACCACCGTGCCTGAACCAACTAGGGTTTACAGAAGCACAGGGGGTCCGGGAGAGGGGAGAACAGGCTGCAAGCCCTTCCCCCACCTCACATCTCCCCACACCCCTGCAGCACCCCAACCCCCTAAGCGGCATTCTCCTTTGACTCCTTCTCCAGCCGCAGCCATGCTGGCCACACCCAGTGATGCTGGGGAATGGCTCAGGGCACCAGGGGAGGCAGGGCGTGGCAGGAGTGGGCACACCGGGCCTGGGGGGCAGCGCTGAGAGACCCCAATTTCCCAGCCCTACCCCTTCTCTTGGCATACTCATGCTCCCTCGTTCACCAGGCCACCAAGAGAACTGCCGGAGAGTCTGGGGGCGCATGCACCAGCTCGAACAGCCTGGCAGCCTTACAGTCTCCCCACCCCCACCCCCACCCCCACCCAAAGTAGGGAATGGCCATTCATGCCCCAAGCCCGGCAAGGTGGGAGGCACCTGGGATTCTCAAACTCCAGCCCCTGGTTGCCCCGTAGGACCAGGGCTGCCTGACAGACTCAGTTGGCGGTAGGGAAGGGAAGCTGCCAAGCAGGCTGATGCCAGACAGGTTACAGTCTTCCAGGGCATCCTCACAGCCAGGGGAAACTAAGGCAGGCCAGGCCTAGGCTGGACTCCAGGAGAAAAGGCACAGCTCCAGTCACTGCACCCAGCCCTCACGGTCTCACGCGCACGGAGAAGGGGCTTCCATTCTCTAGGACAGACGCGGGTCACTCTGCTGCTCAACAGTCACCAGGGGTTCCCAGGGCTCAGGAATAAAGGCTGAGCTTCACAGACAGGCACTCAAGACCCCACAAAACCTGGCCGCTGCCAACTTCTCCTGTCTCATCTCGACCCCAGCCCCCACATTCGCCCCACTGCAAAGCCCTCCTAGCACCTCCCGGCCTCTGGGCCTTTGCCCGGGCTGATCCCAGATCGAAATGCCCATCCTCCCATCTCCATCAGAACCCTGCTCAAATGCCGGCTCTTCTGTGAAGCTTTCTCCAACCTCCCAAGTGAGTGATCACATCACTGGAGCCTCTACGGCCCCAAAGATAGGTCTGCAACTCAAAGGGACCCCAACTGTGCATTTCTGAGCCCATCTTTCCACTGTCCAGAGAGCACCCTGCAGGCAGCAAACACAAGGAACAAGAGCTGGGGGCTGAGCATCCCAGCAGAGCAGTGAGGGTGGGGTGAGGGGACAGGCCACCTACGGGGACCAGCCAAGGGGAGCCAGGCCCTGCCTTCACAGCTCTGGCCACGGCTTCTCCTCTGGCTTTAGGAGCTCCCCAGGCATGTCACTGAGGCAGAGGATTTGCAAATACTTTCCTGGGGTCAGGGTGGGTTTTCCCATGGGGTACCAGCAGGGGTGGGGTGGGGGGAGGGAAAAAGGGAAAAAGAATGGGGTGTGGCATAGGTTCCACAAAGTCAGGTTCAGTTCCTCACAGCGGGAAGGGCCTCAGCATAGAGAGGTGAACCAAGACCTCAAGAGAAAGGGACTCCTTTGTAAGGTTAGATGGGAGAACGGTGGGAGGGTGCCAGCACGGGCAGCCAGGGTCCACCTCTGTGGCTCCGGGCTCCTTCCTCAAGAGGTCAGCACCACGGGGGAGGGGGGGTGCAAGGGGGGCAGTGGTGGGAGCAGAGAGGATGGAGAGGGCCTGGCGGGGGCCACAGGGCGGGGCGAAGCCGGCCTCCCGGTGGCCAGGCCTGCCAGGGTGTGTGGGCCGCCGGCTCCCAGCCCCCCACCCCGAGCATGCAGGAAGAACAATCCCCTTGTGTTTGGGCAGCCAGAGCCTGCATGCTGATGAAGACTAGGGGGTGGGGGCTGGGAAGGGGGTGCCTTGGAGCTTGAAGGAAGTTCCAGAGCCTCAAGGGGCTAGGGGGCCTTCCGCTGGGAAAAGGGGAGAGCCCCAGGTGCTGGCTCTGAGGCTGTGAGTGACCCCAGGAAAGAGAGGGGGTCAGAGCTTAGGTTTAAGCTCCTGGGGCGGGCCGGCTTCCATGGGGTGGAAGAGCTCTTTGTGAGGGAAGGCGGGCCCCTGATGCCACATGCTCTGTGGATCCAACAAGAAGATCAGCCTGGGCTTGGAGGGGGCACCAAGAGCCCATATTCTGGGAGGAGGGCATGCAACTGGCACCATGCATCCCGTGGAGGTCCACTTCCTGGGTGCTGAGGACCACTCCCGGGTGGGGCACTGGGTGCCACAGGTCTCAAGATGGCGGGCTTGGGATGGGGGAGTGGGGAGCAAGCACCTTCCTTTCGGGTGGGCAGGAGGGTCAGGGGCCCCCACCCGCCTGGACTCCAGCGAAGAAGGTAGGTCAGAGCTGGAGGGCTGCGAGCCACGGGGCAGGAGGGGCCCCCGCGTGAGCCCCCCACCGTGCCTGCACCCACTCCAGGCCTGGACCTCTGCGTCTGGCCCCCCAGGACTGCAGAGAATGAGAAGGGGTGTGTGCTGAGAACTGCAGGGCGGAGTGGGATGGGGGATGGAAGCCAGGGACAGCGATGGAGCAGAACCCGAACCCAGGCCGAGAGAAGAGCGGGTCCAAAGGGCAGAAACAGCAGGTGGGATGGGGGCGCCCAAAGCTGGGGTGCGGCCCGGGAAGCCCCTCCTCGGGCAGCCAGAAGCCCCCCACCTGTGCAGGCTGGGGCCTGCGCGGGACAAGGGGCGCGCTCCGCGCCGCGTCCCGGTGCCTCCGAAGCCCGGAGCCCGGCGTGCGGGGCCGGGCGCGGGCTCCCCGCCCCCGGCCGAGCCCCCAAACTTCGCGGCCCTCCGCGCCCCGCCCGGCCCGCGCCCTACCTCTCTGGGGCTGTCCTGCGGCGGCGGCGGCGGCGGCGCGGCGGCTGGGCCGCTCAGTCCCACATTGTCCCCGGGAGAGGCGGCCGCTCACAACTGCGAGTGACATCAGCTGCGAACAATGAGGGGTTTGACAGGCGCGGAGCCCGGCCGGCCCGGAGCCCGGCGCGGCGCTCCCCCCCACCCCGGCCCGCCCGGCCCGGCCCCTCCCCGCCCCCTGCCCGGATCCGATTACAGCGCGCCGGGCCCGCCCCAGCGCCCAGTGCCGCAGCCGCGCCGCCCCGCCCCGCCCCGCCGAGCCCCGCCGAGCCCCGCCGAGCCCCGCGCCGCGCTTCCGGCGGGCCGCCCCCGCCCCTCGCGCTCGCGCCCACCGGACCTGCACCCCTCCGGCACCCCGCCCCGCACGGGCTACGGGAGCCAGCTGAGCCCCTCCCGCGCCCCACTCCGGGTTTCTTTTCTGGAGGGGCGAGGGTCGCCGCGCACTTGCCTCCTCATCTCGGGAGGGGGAGAGAAGACGGGCCGGGGGGCGGGGGGCACTCTGCTCTTCCTGAGCCTTCGCCTTTTCCCTGCTGCTGCTCCCTGGGGAGCATAGCTGCCATCCCCCCACCCCCAGCACGCGCGCGCGCGCACACACACACACACACATACACACACACTCACACACGCGTCCCCGTAATCGGCTCAGCCTGGGTCCCACTGACCTCCCCTCCCCCTCCGCTGAGTCTCGGCACCTGGGAGGTGGGGGTGGCGGTGGGGAGGGGAGTGCAATCTCCCTCCCCCTCCATCTGGCCTGGTGGACAAAAGGGCAGGGGGACCATCTGGTCCCGCCAGGGTGGGGGAGGAGCCCGCAGTAGCGGTCCCCGGAGGAGGGGGAGGGGGAGCGGAGGGGGAGGGGCCGCGTTCGGAGCCGGCAAGAGCCTGCAGGGTCTAATTGCATCACTTTATTTCACCGACCACCGCTGTCTCCCCACCCCTCAGAAGCCCAGAGCAGGAAACAAGCTTGGCTGATAAGACCCCCGGCCTAATATCCTGGGGAGGTGTGGAGCACCCAGAAGAGGGCAGTGGTTGGGAGGTTTGAGGGCCAGGGGGCAAATTTGGAGGGAGGCAGCAAATTCATTCTGGAAGCGATCTGCACCCCTTGGATGAGTGGAGTCTAGGACTGGCCACCCCCTCAGCTCAGCAGACAGTCTCCCACAAGGGGGCAGGGGATGTCCCATGGGGTCCCCACTTTCCCATTAGCACAGTGCACAGGGATTGGGGGGCATGCACAGGCCAGCCATGTGTGAGTGTGCGCATGCGTGCACCTGCGCGGTCACTCCCAAGCGAATGAGACTCTGGGATCATAGATGGTTGGTTCTGCACGTGAAGTTGGACCGTGTGTGTGTAGAAGAGGCTGCGGTGTGCTGTGTGTATTCCACAGAGCACCCAAAGAGGAGGTCCGGGGTAGGAAAGGGAGGCAAGGCCCGCAGAGGAAGGAGTTCGAGAGGCTAGAAAGCTCTAGAAGCTCATCTAATTAATGGTTTACCCTCCACCAGATTGTGTCCTTGATGTCTGCTTTTTTTTTTCTCTTGATTTCACCTCCTTGGTCTGTCACTGCAAGAGAAAGAGGAAGAGACAGAACCCCAAAACCAGAATGCAGAGAGACAGATACCCCTGTTGCTTGATGTGCAGGAGCCCCTGGCAGGAGAGAGAGAAGGAGAGACCAAGGGAGCCCATCATCAGGGCTGGTCCTCATGCTAGCCCCGTGAGAAAATCCAGCAGCTTCGTGTGCCACTCCTCCGGGTTGTCAAGGTAACAGGGGTGCCCTGCATCCTTCATGACGAATACTTGGTGATTGGGCAACTTCTTCAGGTGCTCAAGGCTGGTGGGACCCATGGGGTCCTTGTCTCCATATACAATCAGAGCCGAGGTCTAGGGAAGGAAAGACAGGAAATCATTAGGGACACCCATCCTGCTAATGCTCAGCTAGGGTCACCCAAAAGGGGATGGACTGATAACTGCATAACCTGAGTAGGGGAAGCGGACCCAAGGAGCGAGTTTTGTGCCTGCTGCAGCACAGGCTAGTCCAGAGCTTGGCACAGTACATCAGCTGCTATGAGAACCAAAAGGCTGGAGCATGATGGCTCATTGCCTCCCAGAAACCACCCCAGGTGACCTGTCCCTCCCCAATGGGGAAAGACTCCAAGGATGAACACTCCCTCGATGGTGGCAAGGGTGCCTCAGCCTCCCACACAGTGGTACCTTCACACGGCCGTAGGCAGCAGCATCAATTTTGTCAGTGCAGATGGGGGCCACAGGCACATAGCCCCGGAGCTGGGAGCCTGGGGCCGTGAGGAAGGGCAGGGAGTACATGCCACTCAGTGATGGGCTGATCACCACGGGGGGGCCCAGTTTCAAGGCATCCACCACAGCTGCCAGGAAACTGCTAGGCGCCAGCTCTCCAACAGGGGCAGGGGCTACAGCTTCTTTGGAGTTCCCTAGACCTGCAGGTGTTCAGGCGTGGGAGAGATAAGACAAGAACAGTGAGTAGGAAAAAGTGGAGGAGAGAGTATCCCTTCCTCCAGGCAGCCTTACTAGGTCACTCTTGCTGTGCCAAGTTCCTGCAGTCCTGCAGCACCCAGTATACCTGAGTTTCTGCCTACAACAGCCTAGGTCTGTCATGTCGGTAGTCAGCATGGGGCATGGCCTCCCTGTTTATACCTCTCTTCTCCCAGTGGCACAGTGTCCTGGCCAGAATCAGACTCAATTTCAACACAGCGGGATCCAAGTCCCAAGTCACCACTTATCTTACAGGCCATGGCAAAGTCCCTTGCCCCTCTGGCTGCTCATTTCCTCATCTGCTACAAAGAGATAGTAAAAGTATTATCATTTTAGGGTTATTATGAAAATAAAGTTACCTAGGAGATACCAGTCCTAGGACGGGTTTGGGCTGGGTACCTCCAGGTAAGGGACTGGGGGCAGGCACTGGGCACACACTCTGCCCTCCAGTTCCCACCAAGATTAGCTCTAGACTTTTGCCTTGCAGCTCAGCCCAACCCACTATGGGAACCAATCCAGTGCCAGCCCGGAGTCCTGGCCTTGGGCACTGGAATCACACCAGCCTGGGCCAGTGAGGGGGAAGGTTAGCCACTGCTTCTACCAAATTTGTACCACAGGTTGCAGCCTGCAGGTCCACATTATACTGACTGGCAGTCTGGGGGCTTCCCTGCCTCCTGCAGGACCCAGTTTAGAACTCTGCACATAGAAACATGACTGGGCCCTTAATCACCAAGCCCTGCCCTGTACCCAAATGTGTCAGAGACTGAGACTCATGCCCCCCTAACCTCCAATCCCCGCATCTACACCCCTAGGCTTCCTACAGAATCTGTGAACTGTCAAAAAGAGTTTACTGCCAGGGCCAGGGAGATAGCTAGAAGGGCTAAGCAAATGTTTTGCCTGGGGAAGGCTCAGGGGTAACACCGGTTACTGTAAAGTCCCCCAAGCACAGTTAAGGAGTAGCTCCTGAGCACTGACTCAGGAGTAATGCCTGAACACCATCTGGTGTAGCTGCAACACAGAACAAAAATTAAAAATGTATTTTACTTCCAATAGCCTGAGCACCAATTATCAAGAGCTAGTGTTGATCACAAATTCACACAGTATTCTCATTCCATCTGCACTAGAGCCAGCCCCCCAAAATGAGTCTGTTATCATCCATTACAGATGGGGAAACCGAGGCACAGAGAAATAAATGAACAGTGTCCAGATAACATCCAGATCAAGATTAGAGGGTCTCAGAGCTGGAGACAGTATCGAGGATACGGTTCTGGCCTTGCAAGCGGTGGACATGCTCTGTTCCCAGTACTCATGATCCCCCAAAGTACTGAAGTGATTCTGGGAGCAACCCCTGAACACAACCCAATGCTCCCCTCCTCCCCACCCTAAAAAAAGGACAAAAGCCATGGCTGTGTGCCCTGTGCACTGACAAGCTCAAGGCCAGCCTGGTTAGATCCTCCCAGTCCCCAGTGCCCCACCCTGGGTCCCGGTGAGTCCGCCATAATTCTGTCCTGAAGCCCACCCTGGAAGTACCTGGCAGGTCAATGGCCACAGCTCGGTAACCAGCCTCAGCCAGCCTTTTCAGTGTGCCCAGGTTCTGCCAGGTCTCAGAGGAGAAGCGGATGCCATGCAACAGCAGCACAGAGAAGCGGGCAGCCTGTCCGCCGCCTGGCACAACCTCTCTGTAGAACAGGCTCTGGCCTTGGACCTGGATGGTGCCCTGCCGCTCCTCTGTGCCCGCCATATCTGCTGCTGTGAGGTGAAGGGCCTGTGAAGAAGCCACAGAAGAGTCTGCCAAGGTGCAGTTTGAGGACAGCCACCAAGAGCGTAAGAAGGGCGTCTCGTGGTGGGGAGAGCAGCAGGAGGTCTCCAGATACTCCCAGAAGTATAGGCACACGCTTGGGGGTGAGGAAGACACAGGGGTTATGGCTGCCTCTGCCTTTCAACAAATTCTGTGACTGTGTGCCTCTGTCTTCTCAACCAAAATAAAGCCTACCTCAAGAATGAAAGAGATTTAGAAGAAACAAAGAAGGGCCAGAGCGATAGTACAGAGGGTAACGTGTCTGCCTCGCGCGTGGCTGACCCGGGTTCAATCCCTGCCATCCCATTTATCCCCCGAGTACCACCAGGAATAATTCCTGAGATTCCTGAGTGCAGGAGCCAGGTGTAACTACTGGGTGTGTCTCCAAAACCAAAAAGTAAAATAAAAAAGAATTGATAAGAGTGTTCTTGATAGGAACTCAATACTGGGGCTCCCATTACCATGCTGTTCATTGTTGCTATCCCTAAGAGCCACAGTATCTAATATCACAGTATTTACCTCACAGGTGGCTGAGAGGATTAAAGGAGCACCGGACAGCAGCCCTGGCTGGTGAGTCTAGTACATGGTTCACACAGTAAGTGCGCAGCCAACAGGAGTAGGCAGCAATTTTGTTTATCAGCCTCATCCTCTTCAAGGGAAGAAGACTGGAAGCTGGGACTTCAGGCCCAAGGCGGGGCGGTCAAGATTGGAGCCAAAAACACACTTTCCGGAGGCGGAAACCGCGCAGAGCAGAGAAAGACTTTGGAGTTCCAGCCCCCAAGGACCGCCGGGTGCTCCAAGCCGGGCCCACTGGGGGCCCAAACCAAAGGGCCCGTGGTCTGGCGCGATCACCTGCGCGCCACCGCTCTCCCCACCCCCTCCGCCGACCTCTGGCACTGGATCGCTGGGCCTGGTAGGGTGCATGGGGAGGTTGATGGGGGCAGACTCTGGGGAGCCGAAATAGAAAGAGGAGAGGCGAGGGGTAGGGATAGGGAGGGGAGTCTAGTTGGAGAGAAGATGGAGGACGAACAGCCGGTACCTGGGGAGCTGCCGGGCTCACGCCGATAGGAAACTGGAGAGTGCAGGCGGCGAATGGGGCCTGGGGCGGGGAAGCAGGGAAAGGGTTGGAGCGGGAAGCGGGGCAGTGCCCCGGCCTAGGGCGGGGACCAGGCCTGCTACCGGGTGCCCTCTGGTGGCCAAATGTCATCATGGGGCCAGTCGGTGCAACTAGACCAAGTTTTTACTGAGAGCAGCCTGGGGTTCCCAAAGCCCCTCTCTGGCCTTGGGACGTTGGCCACACTCAGCCACAGGCTCACCCGACACTTGCAGCAGCTTAAGCAGGGAAGTGCCTACGCGTCCATATCCTTGCTGCTCCTTTATCCATCCTCCACCCGCTCTCAGCCCAGCTGGGACTGCCCAGTCCCAGCGCTACACCCCAAGTAGTAGCTGAGGTCCTACTGAGGATTGAGTGCCAGGCACTGCCAGTGCCCACAGGGGCTGCTACCGGTTCCCCAACTCCCCGGAGCCTCCCTCCTTGCCCACCTTCCAGGATAGTGGTAAAGAGTAAGACCCGCCCCTCGTGTGAAGGGAGCCAACAAGAGCTGAACCTGAGGACAGGCCAGACCAGACGTTGGGCACACATCACACCATGCTAACCAGGATGGATACCCTCAGGGGCTGAGAAGACACCCTCCCCACTCTGCATGTGCACAGGCGGGGTTCTGGATGTGGTTGTGCTGAGACCTGGTGCTGCTGCAGGCCGTCCGGCGCTCACCCTGCGGGACCTCCACGCCAGACTGTTCTAAGGCGTGGTGCAGTCCTTAGACAAGCCTGAGTGGTGGGTCTTGTCCTAAATCCCACTTGCACACATCAGGGAACTGAACTGTGAGCTGGGAAGACGTCCTGGTGGGGAGAAGCCAAGTGTCCCCGCCACGTCTTAGGACCAGAACCATCCAGAAAAATCTAGAAGGAGGGTGGGCTCTGCGTGCTTCGGTGCGCCGCCCCTCGCAGCCCTTCCATCAGTACTGCGCAAGCGCGCCGCGGCGCCCGGCGCAGCCTCCCGAGCGGCGGAGGCAGTGCCATGGTCGCTGCTGTCTTTGGCTGCTGGTTGCACTGGGGCGGAGCCCGCCGCGCGGTAGCCGGCACCGCCGTCCCGGTCCACCCGGTGAGTGTCCCCGGAGAGGGATCCGGCAGGGTGCCCGGGGGCGGGCCGGGCCAGCCTTGCTCCGCCCTTTGCCCCGGCGCCTAGTGACAGTCCTGTGGGAGGGGCACACACACACACAGGCAGCGAAGTGAGTGTGTTTTCGCGTATTGTGTGTGCGTGAGATTGCTTGCGCGTATTCTTGGGGGGCTCGGGGGCTGGATTTCTTGCAACGTCGGTGCATTGTGTGCATAAACTATTTTTTTCCTTTGGTGGGCCTGGGGGGGTGTCAACTCATTTCTTTGCGCGTGTAATTTTGAACGTGTGTGTGTGTGTGTGTGTGTGTGTGCTTCTGAGGGTTTCTCTGTGTGTGCCCTGCTGTTTATGTGTCCCTTTGCAGGCGTGTTTCTTGTAGGCGTGCGTAGCTTGTGCGTCTGTGTGAGCGTAGGCTTGAGCTGGGCAGATCTGCGTAAGGTTTTGACAGCGTGTTGCCTGTCTGCCCGCTCACCTCCCCTGATGTCTGACTCTACGTGATTTTGAGGGTGATTCAAGGGACCGATTGCACACAGATCAGTGGCTGTGCAACGAGTGTGCGTGAGCCTGCGGGAGGATACCAGCTTGTGCAAAAAAATGGTGGTGGGGTGGGGACTCTCGATTTTTCTGTGCGTGTGTGTACACCGTGTGTCACCGTCGACGCGAATGCCAAGGGCCTACGGCACAGCTACCCCCACCCCATCTCTATAGCTTAGACCCAGCTGCCCGCCCCCAACAATTGTCTAGCGCTCCAGCCGCCTGGGTTGCCAAGGCAACGGCCGAAGTCCTGCCCCTCCCCCGCCCCGCCTGACGTCTTTGGCCCTGCGCGCCGAGAGCTCCTGCACTCACCGATGCTCAGCCGGGGCGAACTTAGACGGAGTGCATCTGGAGGCGAACGTCGGAGGATGTCTGGGGTCAAAAAGAAGAGAGGAGCACGCACTATCTCCGCTCGTTTGGTTCAGCACCAGAGGCGGGCCCACTGCCCATCCACGGCCAACCGCGTAACCCGAAAGCGTAGGGGTGGGGCGTTGGGAGACATCCCCGAAGATTACGAAGATTACGAAGAGGTGGGTGGGCTGAGATCGGTTCTAGCCCCTAGCTCCTTCCAGGGCCCAGCTAGCATTCAATAAAGATGTTCTTTAGTGGAATCTGGGAACATGGCGGGGGATGCTTCTCCAACCAGGGGCAAGAAATTGGTTACCCCCCCCCCAAAAAAAAGACAGTCTTTTGGAACGGAGCCATACTACAGAGGGTAGGGTGCTTGCCTTGCACCCGGCCAGTAGGGTTCAATCCCGGACACCCCATCTGGTCCCCTGGGCAAAGTGATCCCTGAGATCAGCCAAGTGTGCCCCCCCCAAAAAAAAGACAGCCCCTGGTTACATCTGTAGTAGTATTTAAATCTCTAAGGAGGCTGGGGAGGGCTGCTGTGAGGTTATCCTTCGATGGAAAAACTGAAGACACTGCCAGGAGGAAGCAGAGCTCAGTCTCAAAGCCAGGGCTAGCTGAGACCAGTGCTCTGGGCTGGCCCAGGAGCCAGGCAGCAGGAAACCTTCAAGCAGGCCGTGTGGCACTTTGACCCTCTGCAGCCCTCATTCAGCCCTCTCCATTTCCAGGTGCATCATGTTCTCGGTCCCGCACCACCCCATGCTTCAGAGTTCTCCATCACCGATGTTCTCTATGAGCCCTCCTCCCATTTCCTATCAGCCGGCATTAAAGCATCATGAATTCCCATCAACTGTAAACACATTTCGGTGTTAGCATTATTATTCATGTGTGCAGTGTGCTGAAAAGAGAACCATTTCCAAGCATGCCTTCCGTTTGAGCCTTGCCTTGCCATCTTTCTTTCCCTTTTGCTAATCCTCTGAGTCTTCACCAATGAGGGCTCAGTTCATCTATCACCTCTGGGGCCTGTGGGTTCCTTGGCACAAAGGAGGATTAGATGCCCAGTCCTGCACTCAAGTCTCACTTCCTCCATTTGCTCTTCTGCTCTTTGGGTGAAGGAATTTACCTCCCTGAGCCTGTTTCCTTGGCTGTAAGGGACCTAGAATCTTACCTACCTGATGTACGTGTGTGGATTTTATGAGCTGTGGCATGTGAAGGGCCAAGTGCAGGGCCTTGCTGTCACAGGCTTTGTGAGTGGAAGTGGTTTTCCCTGGCACAGTGGCGCAAGTGACCACTGAGCTTGCTGTGTGCCAGAGGGATACGTCAAATGTGTCTCACCCATAGCATGTCTGAGCCCTCGTCCTGGTTCATGTAGCTACTGGGTGTGAGCAGGGGAAGGGGCAAGGACTGGGGTTTTTCTTCTGCTGGGGGCGGGGGCTGGGATCCAAGGGGCTTCTGGGGACTCAGCCCCAGACATTTCTCTCCTCTTCTCTAGATTATGGGACAGCCCCCCATAACTCGATCCCAGCTCGTCCTGATGGGCCTGTCCCTGCTACTCTTACTGCTCCTGTGCATAGGGATACCACGCACCCCTGAGCAAACCACATGGCCCTGGTCAAACCCCAATATTTCATCCCTGACTGGTATCACATTTGGAGAAACCCCTGTCTTTTTCCGTGAGGTGTACCCGAACCGAGAGGCACGCAGGTAAGTGCCAACTTTGGGGTGTACTGGGAGGGCTGACCCTATGGGGGCTCTCTATGGAAACTCAGCTCAACTCAGGGCACTCGGGGCCTGGGAATTCAAGTGGGAGAGATCCGGTAAGATAGAATAGTGGGGTGGGGCGGGGTCAGGAGCAATAGTATAGAGGGCAGGGCATTTGCCTTGCACATGGCCAACCAGGATTTGATCCCCAGCACTCTATATGGTCTTCTGAGCCCATCAGGAATAATCTCTGAGTACACAGGAGTAAGTCCGGAGCACTGCTGGGTGTGACTCACAAAACAAAAAATAGTGGGGAGGAGTAGGTGGGGTGCGGGTTCAAGGTGTGAAGAGCAAGCTTTGCATGCAGGAGCTCCAGGTTTGATCTGTAGCACCACATGATGTCAAGCACCATGGGTGCCAACATACATGCTTCTCCTCTGTGCCCACAGGCTGGATGTGGTGTTGCTCCATGGAAAGGCCTTTAGCTCCTTCACGTGGGAGCAGCTGGGCACACTGCAGGTGCTGGCACACCGGGGCTACCGGGCGGTGGCTATTGACCTCCCAGGTGAGAGTGCTATTTGCTGGCCTAGGGAGACAGCATGAAGCATGTCCAATGTAGCGGGCTGCCTCGGAGAGAGGGGATTGAGTGGGGTGGGGAAACCCTGAAATGTGGGTGGGAGAACCTAGACCCCATTGTCTGGGTGAGCGGCAGAATTTCACAGTGAATGAAGACACCATGGAAAGGTCTGTGCTTCTATTTTCTACTTTGAAAGCAATGGTGTAGATTTTTGAATGCCACTGAACAAACAGAAATGTCACTTTATGAGCAATTGTTTGCATCACATACTTTTTAATTGACAATTTTTTTAAATTTAGCTACACAATTTATACTGTCATTATTGCCATTAAAAAAAAAAAATCAAGGGGCCGGCGTGATAGTACAGCAGGTATGGCATTTGCTCTGCAGGTGGTCAATCCAGGTTCTATCCCCAGCATACCATATGCTTCTCCATGCACTTCCAGGAATAATTCCTGAGGGCAGAGTCAAGAGTAACCCCTGTGTGATCCAAAAAAAAAAAAAAAGTCAAGCAGGGGCCAGAGACAGCTCAAAGGGCTGAAGTGCACGCTTTTGTATGCAGGAGACCCAGGTTTAATCCTTAGCATTGAATGGTCCACTGAGCACCGAGAGCAACCCCTGAGACCATGGGGTGGGCCAAAAGAAATCAGCAAGGCAGACAATGATGCCCTCAGATTCACGCCACATCTCTCTCCTCACTTCTCCAAGTAGTGCTGTGTTGGAAGACCTACATTTTTGGTATTTTCTAGAAATAGGTAAAGCAGTATGCTGTGTTGTGTCGTTGGGGTATAGAGATGTCCAGTCCCCTGCTTGCTTAAGGAATCCAGCATTTTCTCCCCTTGGCCATGTCTCACCTTGAGCACATTGAAGCACACAGTTATTGTGCGGGGCTCAGAATTTCTGGAACCATGTCTCACAGGTCAAGCCTGCTGCCACGAATCTTCACTCTGTCGTTTACGGTAGGAGGTGCCGTGAGAGGGACAGGCAGAGGTCAGCTGGCTAATCTGCTGGTGGGCATGTAGGCTGACTTAAGAGTTTTCAGTGTCAGCTGAAATTCTTTAGGAATAGAAAAGAAGTATCTTTGGGTGTTCTTCTTTGAGCTGTGGGTAGCTAGTGAAGACAATTGGTGGGTCAAAGGCTGCATATTTTACTTTTTTTTTTTTTGACAAATTCACCTTGCCTCCCAAAAAATGCTATGTGGATTGATCCATCAGTTCTGTGTGAATGACTTGTTCCCCAACATCTTCTCCTGTGCGGGGCAGTACCAGCATTTTTGTTTGTTTAGTCTTGCCCATCTAATGAATAAAGGTTTTTTTTCTGGTAGACCCGACTGCCACTGGCAGGAAATCTTGAACTTCTCTCCAGTCTTCCTTAGTGGGTGCCTTCTGCTGTTCCCAGGTTTTGGGAACTCAGAACCCACAAAGGAGGCTAACACAGATGCAGGGCGGGCAGAGCTGATGAAGCAAATGCTGGAGGACCTGCAGGTACGAAAGGGGGTGTTGGTGAGCCCCTCGCTGAGTGGCCAGTATGCCCTGCCCTTCCTGATGCAAAGCCACTACATGCTGCGTGGATTTGTGCCCATTGCTCCTGTCTACAACCAGAACTATACCCGGCAGCAGTTCTGGGCCGTGAAGGTAAGAAGGATGGGGAGGGTCTGCAAAGGTCTTGGGGGCAGGAGAGAGGGCTTATATCTCATTTGGAGGACATGACCCCATCCCTGATGGAATGGAGGAGATGGAGTGTTTGGGAAGATTTCCTAAGGAGGTGGCACCAGGGGCCATCCCCATCAGGTCACAGGATCGTAGCCCTTTGCCTTGCCCTGCAGACCCCAACCCTCATCATGTACGGAGATATGGACCACTTCCAGGCTACAGAGTCGATGCAGCAGCTCCGCTTCCTTCCCAACCACTCGGTGGTGAAGCTGCACAATGCAGGCCATGCCTGCTACCTCCAGAAGCCGCAAGATTTCCACCAGGCCCTCCTTGACTTCCTTGACAGCCTTGCCTTAAAATCATCCAATGCTTTGACCCCAGATGAGGCCTGAGGGACTGTGCTTGTGCCCCTTCTAATCCTCCCCGAGAACTAAGCCCACAAAAGACCTCTCCTTATCTTGCAAACTCAATAAAATGCATCTTTGTAGTGTGTCTGGGGAGTGAAAAACTGTTGGTGGTGCTGAGGTGGGACAGAAGTGCGAAGCCAATCCGGGACAGCTTCAGGGCTCGGAGGTGAAGCAGTCTAATGACAGAACATGGGCTGGCTGGCTGGCCTTACCAGTCCATGCCTTAGATTCCTCATCTGTAAAGGAAGTAAAATAACACCTTGCTCAGAAGGTAGTTTTAGTATTGAATGAGTATTAGGTCACACCGAGCTATTACTGCCATATGTCCACTGAGATTGATGGGGAAATCAGGGCTCTAGTGAATCTGGAATGCAGGCCCAGTGGCCCCAAGGGAGCGGGAGATGTAGAGGTGGGGGTGGGGAGGCGGTTTAACAAATATCAATGTTTTGCTAGTGGCATGGCCCCTGGGCATGTGTAGGTCAGCTACCCGCAATACCCAAAGGGTTAGTTGGCCCCCTGTCCTCCCCTCCCAGCTTTCCTCCTCTGGGCCCAGAGGTTGAAGTCTTCAGTCCCTGCCCCTCCTCAAGCTGGCTCAACTCCTGGAACAGAGGGCAGAACTGGCTAAGGGTACAAAGGGCATCGGGGCACACGAGTGGCCAGTACAACTGTGTGCTGCCTTTGGGTGGCTGGTGGGACACCTGAGCCTCTTTATCCTCCCTCTCCGTTGGCTGCAGAAGAGTCAGAAACTCTAGCCCAGGGTCAGCCAGAGTGTGGCTTTTTCGTTGCATTCTCCCACCACCACTCACACTCTTACAGTGGTTCCCATTACCTCCGTCACAGGCGCTGTCATACCCACTATTTTCTCTCATCCATGTCATATACATAGCATGTCTGCCGATACAGATTTGCCTGCCCCGTGGCACGCAATCCCGGCCCTGCCAGGCGCGGAATTAACGACGCGGGTCCGTGAACCAACCTGAAGCTCAGCGTCTGGGGAGCAGATATTAACTAATAAACTCTGCATACCTGGGCCTGAGACAGGGAGGAACCTCCCTGAAGTGCTGAGAGGAGAAACGTGGGGTACTCGTGTAGGAAATAGGGGAGCAGTCGGGCACAACTCCATAAAGACTCGGGGGGGGGGGTTTGGGCCGGGGGGAGGGGGAGAAAAAGATTTGGCCGTGCAGCACCAGGAGCACCCGAGTGCGGTCAGCGCCGTTTCGCGTCAGGGCCCGCCCTCCTCTCTCGCTGTCCAACCCGCGCTCGCCGTTTCGCGTTAGAGCCGCCCTCCTCTCTCGCTGCCCAACCCACGCACGCCGTTCCGCGTCAGGGCCCGCCCTCCTCTCGCGACCCAATCCCGCGCCCTCAGGGGTGGAGCCTTCGGGGAGGCGGAGCCATTCGGAGAGCGCACTCCGGGGGGCGGGCCTTGCTGTGGGCGGGGCCAGCCGGGACTCCGCCGCCGCCCGCGGGATCTGGGGTTAGACCCTCGGAGACCGGAACGCCAGGCGAGCGGAGAGACTCCCACGCAGTGGCCACTGCAGAGACCCAATCGGCCTTCACTTGCTGTCCTCGGCCCCGCCCCACGAGCCGGGTCCGGCCACGTGGTGGGCGGGCTGGGGCGGATCCGAGCCTGCGACCTGCGGGAGCCTGCCTCTGCCCGGGACACAGTCCGCTGCCGTTTCTGGGAGGTGGACGCAGCCCGAGACCAACAGAGCCCGAGGTGGGGGGCGCGCTGGACCGGGGCTGGGGAATGTGGGGGCTCTTGGCACGAAATCCGGGCAGTTGGGAGAAATTGTTGGAAGACGGCGGGGTGTCTGGATTCAGACCTGGCCTGACTATTCTGGCCGCCCCTGAATCTCTGAGCCTCAGTTTCCTCCTCTGCAAAGTGGGCATTCAGAGGCACGAACTTCGTGGGGGCTTTGGGGCTGTAGACTAAGGAAACGTGTTGAAAACATCCAGCGCAGCACCTGGGACCGAACAGGGACCCTAGCAGGGGGCTCTAACTGGGAGTCCTTCCTGTGAGACAGGACTGGGACCGCCCTGGGGAGGGTCTGTGTGTTCATGAAGCCCCAGACTTGCTTTGTCCCTAGCTCACCGCGCAGAGCCATGGCCAGCAAGGGTATCCAGGGAGAGCACCCATCCGTGACGCTCTTCCGCCAGTACCTGCGCATCCGTACCGTCCATCCTGAGCCCGACTATGGTGAGAGCGCGGGCCCGGGGCATGCATGGGCCCAAAGGGTGGGGGGACTGCCACAACCAGACTCCAACCCCTGCCTTCACCCGCCCTGTTCCCCAAAGCCTGTGCTGCTTTAAAATTGACCCCAGCCCCACCTCACTCCCTTGGGCTTGTTGGGGAGCTCTGGGGAAAGACTGTGCAGTCCCAAGATACCCTCAGAAGTCTCCTGGGGCTTGACCAAGGTCATGTGGGAGTCAGGCTTGCTGGCTGGACACTTTCTGTACAGGGGTTCTTTCCTGCTTGCTGGGAGACCAGGCAAATGTCCTGTTGTGCCCCAACCACCTCCTCTGGAAGGAGGATGATTGCAGTAACTGCCTACTTACCCTGGACTCCGCTGGTCTTCCCCAGAGAACAAAGGGCCAAAAATACCTTTTTGGGCAAGAAATGTAGGTGGTGGGACCAGAGAGAGAGTGCAGTGGTAGGTTGCTTGTCTATGCACCCCAGCACCCCAGAGGACTCCTGATCCTCCAGGAGTGAACTCTGAGCACAGAGATAGCAGTAAGTTCTGAGCACAGCCAGGTTTGGAGAGAGGGAGAGAGAGAAGGAGTGATAGCACAGCGGGTAGTGTGCTTGCCTTGCTCTTGGCTGATCCAGGTTCAATCCCCAGCATCCCATATGGTCCCCTGGGCCCTACCAAGAGTGACCCCTGAGCGCAGAGCCAGGAATAAGTCCTGAGCACCAACCTCTGGTTGTGACCCCAAGCCCAAAAAGAGAGAAGGAAGGAGGCTCTAAGGGATGTGAAATAGTGCTGAGGTGGTAGCAGGTTTTTTGGGGTCTATTCCCTTCTTTGGATCTGTCCTCCAGCTTTGTCTGGGAGAGAGGCACAGGTAGGCAGGATCAGCTCCAAGATTCTCTGTGTCCCCAGCGGGAGCAGTGGCTTTCCTGGAGGAGCAAGCCCAGCAGCTGGGACTCGGCTGTCAGAAAGTGGAGGTGAGCCTGGGGCCCTGAGTGGGGAGTTGGGACAGGTCCTCCTCACTCTGCACTGACTCCCCTCCTTCCTGACCCTCTCCAGGTGGCACCTGGCCGTGTGGTGACTGTGCTGACCTGGCCAGGCACCAACCCCAAGCTCTCCTCCCTTTTGCTCAACTCCCACACAGATGTGGTACCTGTCTTCAAGGTGTGTGTGTGTGTGTGTGTGTGTGTGTGTGTGTGGCCGGGGAATGGAAGGGGACAGGGCGCTGGGGGTAGAAGGATGCAGACCCCTCTTCAGCCTTAGAGAACCCATGTGCTAGTTTTCACTCCTTTGCAGTGTCACTGTGCTTCACAGCTCTCCGCAACCTTTCCTGGCTGCCTTTCATTCCCGGGGTATGGGGGAAGGTGGGAGACATTTGGAGGTAGCCATTAGCTGTCTTTAGCCCTTTTCAACACCTGCATCCCCGCCCCCATCACCCCAACCCTGCAGTAGGACATAGAGCTGTGCCAGCGTGGACTGGCACCAGATGTGTAGCTTGGGCTCCTCTTCCCAGTCTTTTTTTTTTAATCTGGTTTTTTTGTTTGTTTGTTTGCTTTTTGGGTCACACCTGGCGATGCACAGGGGTTACTCCTGGCTCATGCACTCCTGGCTCATGCACTCAGGAATTACTCCTGGCGGTGCTCAGAGGACCATATGGGATGCTGGGAATGGAATCCGGGTCAGCTTCATACAAGGCAAACGCCCTACCCACTGTGCTATCACTCTAGCCCCTCCTCTTCCCATTCTTGCCCTTAGGAACACTGGAGTCACGACCCCTTTGAGGCCTTCAAGGATGCAGAGGGCTACATCTATGCCAGGGGCACCCAGGACATGAAGTCTGTTGGCATTCAGTGAGTGTCTGCCATGCATATGCATATCCCCTCAGTCACCCTTTCACAGTGGGCTGTCTCTGACTTGGGTGTGGTTAGGTCATGACCTCAGGGTCACTTTATATCTTGAATTATATGTATAAAGAGCGAGCATTGTTTTATGCTGGAAGGTGGGGGTATGTGAGACCAGTTCCAGGAAGTTCACTTAGTCTGACTTAACGAAGCCTGTCTCCTTGCCCTCTGATAGAAGCACAGATTGTATTTCTCGATTAGACCGTAGTCTCGTGGATTTGTATTTCTGGATTAGACCCTGGTGATTTGAGCAGAGTAGAAACTGGATCAGGTTTTCTTGGATGGCTCCAGGATGGCTGGTGACCTGTCTTGCTTTCTCTGATGCAATGAGGCAAAAGACCCAAGGAACTTCTTGTCTTTTCAAAACTGGGGATTGAACGGGGGCTTACACATGTGAGGCGTGTCTTCAGTCCCACAAGGAACATCTTTTTGATTTTGGGCCAAACCCAGCAGTGCTTGGGGATTGTTCCGGGCAGTGCTGGAGGTGGGGGGCGGGGGGGAGGCCATTATGGAGCCAGGGATTGGACCCTGAGTAGAATTGAGTAGGAATAACTCAGGGTCCCCAGAGCCAATCCCCAGCCCAACAAAAGAGCACTTTGTTCCTTTTGTTTTCTGGGGGGCTTCCTGCTGGGATTCTAATCCTATTAGGCTGTCTGGTGCCAGGAAGCAAACCCAAGCCTTGTGCATGCCAAACATACTCCACTCTTTGAACTATCTCCCCACCCCAAGAAATGTCTTCGCCCCTCGCTTTGGGCAGCAGTTACCTTTGTTTTTGGTTTGGTTTTGGTTTTGGCAGTGTTAAGGGGCTACTTCAGGTTCAGTGCGTGGGGGTCACTCCTGGCAGCGCTTATGTGGTGCTGGGGATCGCACCCAGGCCTGCATGCAGAACATGTGCACCTAGCCTGCTGAGCCATCCTCCAGCTCTTAGGCAGCAATTTACTTGTGACCTTTGCATGAAAGAGGAGCGCAAGACCCAGGGCCCAGAGCCCCTGCCTATCTGCCAAAGCCACCTGGTGGCTCCCCAGCACCTAGCTGAGCGCCTCTCACTGGTTTCAGGTACCTGGAGGCTGTGAGGAGGCTGAAGGCTGAGGGCCACCATTTCCCCAGAACTATCCACATGACCTTTGTGCCAGGTAGGAGTGACCGGGGCAGGGCACCTCCAGAGCGGGCATGGGTGACCCCTCTCCCCCTTGTCTCATGTCTCTGTTGCTCTTACAGATGAGGAGGTTGGAGGTCACCAAGGCATGGAACTCTTTGTGAAGCGGCCCGAGTTCCGGGCCCTGAAGGCCGGCTTTGCCCTGGATGAGGGTGAGAAGGGCAGCAGGCCTCCGAGCAGCCTGCAGGGGTGGGAGGGCTACTGGTAGGGTTTCTCCTCCCTCTGAACTCCCTTTCTCTCCTCAGGCCTGGCCAGCCCCACTGACGCCTTCACGGTCTTTTACAGTGAGAGGAGCCCCTGGTGTGAGTATGGACTTGGAGAGGGGGCCTGCCGAGGTCACAGAGTGGCTGGGGACCTGAGGAGGCCTCGAACTCAGGGCCTCTGCCTTCTTGCCCCTTTTTGCCTGGGCTTCCTGAGTTTCGAGGGTCGGCCCCAACTATGGGCAAGAAACCCAGCTTCGTTCTCTGCCCCTGGGGGTCTGAGCCCTGCCAGAGGCACTCTGGAAGGGAACACCCGGAGCACCCTGGACTGATTGTGGCCCCTTCAGTTCTTGCCATGCTGAAGTCCCTCTCCTTCCCTATGTGTGTCCCAGGGGTGCAGATCCAGAGTACCGGGAACCCAGGCCACGGCTCACGCTTCATCGAGGACACTGCAGCAGAGAAGCTGGTGCGTGGCACCTGGGCAGGACTGTGGGATTCCCGAGGCACTGCCTCGGCTGCTCTGACATCTCTCCTTGCCCTCTCCTAGCACAAGGTCGTGAGCTCCATCCTGGCCTTCCGGGAGAAGGAGCAGCAGAGGTGAGGCAGCCTGGGCAGGGTACGGTCCCCGGGAGACAGGGGAGATGAGGGAGGAGGAGCCACCTGTTTTTTTTTTTTATTGACTTATTTAAGGACTTTGGGGGGCCATACTGGGCAATGTTCAGGGCTGCTCGGGGCTCTGTGCTCAGGGGTTGCTCCTGGGGGTACTCAGGGGACAGTGCCGTGCCAGGGATTGAACCTAGATCTTCTGCTTGTAAAGCGTGCGCTCAGCAGGTTGTCATCTCTCTGGCCCTCAGGCATCTGTTTTTGATTTTTATTGATTAATAACTGATGATGGTGATGATGAGGTTGGGCCACGCCCAGAGGTGCCAGGGGCTGTTCAGAGCTCAGGAGTGACCCCTAGTGGTTTTGTGATCAACCAGTGCCAGCCACCTACAAAGCAGGCACTCTGGATCTGGGCCACTGCTCTGATCTGGAACTTCCCCTTATCACCCCTGCCCCCACCACAGGCTGCAGTCAAACCCCCGCCTGTCAGAGGGGGCTGTGACCTCTGTGAACCTGACTAAGCTAGAGGGCGGCGTGGCCTATAACGTGGTACCTGCCACCATGAGTGCCAGCTTTGACTTCCGCGTGGCCCCGGACGTGGACCTAAAGGTGCTGCTTCCGCCTCGTTTTGGAGGAAGCTTGGTTCTCCCTCCTGCCCCAGAGCCGCGGGGAGAGCCTGAGGGTCCGTTCATTCTCCCTTCTGTAGGCTTTTGAGGAGCAGTTGCACCGCTGGTGCCAGGAAGCTGGCAAGGGGGTCACCTTGAATTGGATCCAGGTATGGACTGGGGGCCCACCAGGGGAGCCAGGCTTGCTGAGCGAGTTCCGGTAGCACGCGTGTGGCTGGAGTGCTTGTGGATGCCTGTGCATCTCTTTAGAGAAGTTGACATTTGATCTTTTCACCAACCCACATTAGTTATGGAGGCGGCTGGGTGCAGAGTAACTGTAGGAGCAAAGTTAAATCGAGGCTGTCACCCTCAGTCCTTACAGCAGGAATGGAAAATAGCTGCAGATGCAGCATTTCTGTATTACTAATGTGGCCTGGAAAAGAATGGGACCTCTGAGCATCTGTGATTGGATTAACTGGTCTGAGATGGAAGGGGGAACGGGCTAGGATCTGAGGCTGGATAGAAGTAGGTAGAGTGGGGAAGGTCCCATGGCATGGTCTCTGAGGGACGGGATGAGAACCTGTGGCTGGAGTCCAGATGAAAGCGTGGATGGTGCTTGAGGGTCAGGACCAGAAATAGCCAGTGATGCACAGGCCATCCTGACCGTCATTCCTGCTCCCCACAGAGGTGGGAAAACCCCCAAATAACATCGACTGACGACTCAAACCCCTGGTGGGCAGCCTTTAGCAGAGTCTGCAAGGACATGTGAGTGGTCGTCCTCTCCTCTACCCGCCTCCCCTACCTTTGCCCCTTCAGCCTTGCCCCGTGCTCTCCCACCGCTGTCCGCCATCCTCAGGCTCTCCCCTCTGCAGGAAACTCACTCTGGAGCCCAAGATCTTCCCTGCTGCCACCGATAGCCGTTATATCCGCGCGGTGAGTCAGCAGCTGGCAACGGGGGGGCCAGAGCGGTGGTCTTGGATGATGGCCTTTCCCTAAGGGTTCTTTCTCACCGCCTGCAGACAGGGGTTCCAGCTCTGGGCTTCTCACCCATGAACCATACGCCAGTGCTGCTGCACGACCACGATGAGCGGCTCCACGAGGATGTGTTCCTCCGTGGGATCGACATCTACATGCGCCTGATCCCTGCCCTGGCCAGTGTACCTGCCTTGCCCAGCGACAGCTGAACCCCATCCCTGAGCTCCACCCCTGGAGCTTCCACCCAGCAGTGCCAACGACTCCTCTTCCCTACTGCCTGATAATAAAAGCTGTGTGGACAGGGGCTACCCCTGAAGTACCAACAGCAAGAATGTTCATCAACAGAGGCTTGCATTTCTCTGGGGACATCCTCACTTGACAGAAAATATGAGACTGGCTTTGGCACCCAGCACCCCTAAACACAGTACTCTTACCTAGTCCGACCCAGCACGCCTGCCTAACAACCAGACACCCTTTGTAACCAAGGGGCCACTGTTTGGGTCCCCAAAGCTCAGGGCACTGCTACTGGACTTGAGACACTGGTGGTGGTGGAGGTGGTGGGGTGATGGGGATACCATTTACTTTGAAGGTAGACAAACAAGGATTTCAGGAAACTAGTTGACAAGGTGTCAGTGTAGACAGGATCTGTCAAAAGCCCTTTGGTCAGGGCTAGGGCTAGAGGCCCAGGTCCTTGCCTTGTACGTGAGCACCCTGAGCAGAAGCCAAATCTGAGCACAGCTGGGGGTGCTCCCAAGCCTCCCCACAAACCCTCTGGGTGTGGGGAATGGAGTAAGATGCCAAGAGCTGGGGGCTTGTGACTTGTAGGCATGTAGGCAAGCTGGCTATGATCTTATTAAAGAGCCAGAAAGTATAGCTAGTGAAGTGTTTGCTTTGCACATGGCTATCCTGGGTTCAAGCCCCAGCATAGCATAAAGCCTTTCAGCACCAATGAGGGGTAATTCCTGAGCACTTCTGGGTGTGGCCCAAGAACTGCAAAAAAAAAGTTGAAGACCAGAAAGACAGCTGAAGCCCAGGTTTAATATTAGGTGCATGACTCCCCAAGTGACACCTGTAGTGACCCCAGCACTGAGCCAGGAATAGCCAGAGGGCACCACTGGGAATGTTCAAAAAATAGAAAACCTAGCTGAGGGTTTGTGAACACAAGGGCTAATGAACATGCTCTGTTCACTGGAGGTCAAGATGCTTACACTGGCCAAGCTCCCCAACTACACCATCACCCAATCTTGCCACTGCAAGATCCTCTAGCACCTTGCGGAAGTCGCCCCCAAACCAAACAAGCTGAAGTCTGGGAAAAGGCCTGCCTTCCCACATATAACATGCTAGTGATTTAAGCCAACGAACAGCAGCCCAGTCTTGGTTAAGCCAACGAAACCTACTACAGTCCCATATAAGGTGCTCTTGTCCTTACTCTACCCCCATCCCTTCCTTGCTATGAAGCAAAGTAACAATGATACAGTAAGTTATTAACACTTTCTTGCTAACTGCAATTTTTGGCTGATAGTGACAGGTAGCAGCATTTGAAAATCTGTTCCACCTACTCCAGTGTGGGAGACCTGCACAACTCAGAACCCCTCAGAGTATACTAGTAGCAAACCCTTTTCTCTTCCACTGAATTAAGCTTTGACCCCTAAGAACCAAAGCTGTTTGAGAATCTCTTCCTTTCTTCAGCAGTCTGCTACCTGTCCCAAGTCCTCCAACCATTCTCACTTGGCAGTCACCCTTCCCCGTTCTCCAGGGCCCTATTCCCTCACTCCACCCATACCCTACCATCCTTAAACTGTCTCCCTACAATGGAAACGACAACCCCACCAGATTCCCACCCCCAGCTCAGATCATAGACACGAGCCAACAGATCCTGCTCTCAGGTTTATTTGTACAAACAGCACAGGAGGACCCGACTGGAGGCAGCCCAGAGATCACACCAGTCCTTCCACGCTCACACTGACAGGAGCCTCTTAGGGAGCCTTGGCGGGGGCCTGGGCACCTTTGGCAGCTTGAGCTGGTGCTGGAGCTGCAGCCGTCTGGGTCTTACTCTGCGGCTTGGCTTTACCCTTCATCTGAGCCTTGGCTTTAGCCTTCATTTGAACCTTGGCTTTAACCTTGGTTGGATCCTTGGTTTCAACCTTGGTTTTTGGCCGGCAAAGCCTGAGACCCTTGGCAATGCGGGCACGAGCTTTCTTCCCAAGCCTGGGGTGAGCAATATACGCAAGTCGACTGAGCTTGCGACTGTTCTTCTTTGTGATCACGGGCCTGGTTGGCTTGGGCTTCACCAGGGCCTTGATGGCCTCAGCACGGGCGCTCATGGCCTTAGCATTGTTGGCCTGCATCTTCTTCAGGCCCTTCTTGTTGTGCTTCTTGGCAAAACGCATGTTCCTTAGGAATTTGGGGTCCACCTGGAAAGCAGAAAAAACACAGGAGACTAAAGTACAGTAGCCAGGGACCCCCAGAGACCCTCTCCAGAAAAGTATCCAATAGTCTATTTTCCCAATGGGCCACTGGGGGGCACATACATCAAGTCAACCTTAAATGCTGAACTAGTCAACCATCAGAATCTTATCTGCAGGAGTATGAATGTGGCATCACTACTATACAGAGCCACATGCCCAGCCAGCAGAGTGCACACCCGAGCACAAGTGCCCCCCTGCCAGGCTTACAGGGTTTCTGTTTCTTCCAGCAAGGTTTTCACTTTTTCTCAAGACCCCAGCCCCCAAAAAGCATCCACTCCCAATCCCAGTACAAGAGTTACAGCAAAATAGACCAAACTCAAGAGATTTCAAGACTCCACACATCAGGAAACAAAACAAAAACTCTGCAGGGAGCAGCAATGGAGCAAAGAACAGTGCCACTAGGACCACCCGCCAGGCTTCAGTCCCTCCAGCTAATCCCCAGAAGTTCCTGGCACAGGAAATAAAGGCAAGCCCCCTCTCCAGGTACAGATTAGATCAAAGACAGGGGCCACACGGTGAAGAGGTGCAGTTCTCTTCCTCAAGAGCTCTGGGCAAGCAAGGGCGTGGTCACACGGCCAGGAGAGGGCAGGCCCCATCTTGACTGGGGTTCCACATGGGCCAGCCAAGGCGGAGAAAGGCTTTATTAGGAATGGGGCAGTTAATTTCCGTGCTCAGACAGATGCAGAAACTACCAGACACAATGTCACTTGGTTGAGTGCAGACTCACCCCTTTGAGAGACTCATATCGCTGTGACCGAGGTTTCTTAATGCCATTTCTGTGCCATTTTCGAGCTGCAAAAAGAATTAAGTTATAACAAAACTGCAATCGGTTCCAGGAAGACCAGTCATCCTGCCTGTCAAATCTAGGAATACTGTCAGGTCTTCTTGAGATCCGAGAAATGCCTCACCCTCCAACTACAAGGAAAAAAATTAAAGGGAGCACGCGAGCCTTTCACGGGCACCGTGTACTTGGCATACACAAAGATGAAGGTGATGCTAAAAGCACACACTTCAACCCTCGCGCCTGCCCTGCGTCGGTGTCCCCGAGCCTTCCCCGGTTTCCCAGGGGACCGGGGTCGGGCTGGAGGCTGGGCCTCCCAACTTACACTGGTTGTGCGTGGTGTGGTTCTTGGACTTGGCCATGTCTGCACCTGGAGGACGGAGAACGAAGAATCAGGCCTGGGGGGCGGGTTGGGGATGGGGGGTCTCGACTAGGCCCAGGGCTGCAGCCCAACACGTAAACTGCGTGACGGCATGAAGCCAGAGTGAGATCTGAACTGCAGCCCCTACCCTCCTGGGCTTCTTCACCCAGAGCTAGCACCGGTTCCCACGTTGCAAACTCAGGCAGTGGTGGTGCAAGAGCATCCCCGGCGCCGCCAGTTGAGCTCATTCCCCCCTCCCGCCCCATATGGATCTCCGTCTCCCATCCTTGCTACTGAGCCCACAAGCAGCACCCCAGGCCCGCCCTCTCCGCTCCCCTGAGCCAGGCAGCCGGCCTCTCGGTCCTCCCACAGCTTGCGCGTCCACCGCCCTCCGGGAGTCGCGGATGGCTTTGGATTTCGGTGTCCACCGAACTCACCACGACAGCGGTTCCCCGAGTGCTGGAACCGGAAGAGAAAGGAGAGTCGTGGTGCAGCACGGGAAATAGGCTCTTCGGGGCCGGAAGGCACAACTCGAAGAGCTTTCCCCAGCTCCGAAGAAGAAAGGTTCCGAAGGAGAAAGGTTCCGAGGCCTGACAAAGCGCGGTCACGCCGGAGGGCGGCGCTACGAGCCCGGCCCCGCCCCGGCCCCGCCCCCTAGGTTTTACCTGCGCCTCTCCCTTCTGTAGCCCACCCCCCGGGGCCTTGGCTCTTGGGTCCTGGGCCTCAATGAAAGTTCTGAAAGCGAACGGAAGGGAAATCTTTTTTTTTTTTCTTTGAAGGGAAATATTTTATTTTATTTTATTTTTTTCTTCTTAGTTTTTGGGTCCCACCCAGCAATACTCAGGGGCCCATGTGGGATGCTGGGGATGGAAACCAGGTTGGGTGTGTGTAAAGCGGGAGCCTCACCTGCTGCACTCTCTCTCCAACCCAGCTAAGTCTTGAAAGATACATATTAGGGGGCTGGAGCAATAGCACAGCGGGTATTTGCCTTGCACGCGGCCAACAGGGGTTCAATTCCCAGCATCCCATGTGGTCCCCTGAGCACCACCAGGAGTAATTCCTGAGTGCAGAGCCAGGAGGAACCCCTGTGCATTGCCGGGTGTGACCCAAAAAGAGAAAGGAAGGAAGGAAGGAAGGAAGGAAGGAAGGAAGGAAGGAAGGAAGGAAGGAAGGAAGGAAGGACAGGATATTTGTGTTCTTAAAAAGTGTCCAACAATCTGGGGCCAGAGCGATAGTACAGCGGGTAGGGCATTTGCCTTGTATGTGGCCATCCGAGTTCAATCCCTGGCATCCCATATGGTTCCCCAAGCACCACCAGGAGTAATTCCTGAGTGCAGAGTCAGGAGTAACCCCTAAACATCGCTGAGTGTGACCCAAAAAGCAAAACAGCAAAACAAAAAAAGTATCCAAGCTACTGGGTGGAAACAGAAAAGGCAGCAGGCAGAGAACTCTGGACCCCAGCTGGGGCAGCGCATGCAGATACACTGAAAAGGAATGCAGTTAATGAGGAAGAGAAAGCGAAGGTCAGAGGAGCCCGTATGTTTCCAGCATGAACATCTATCTGGGTGAAGGGTGATGCTGGTCACAGAAATGGGAAGATTGAAGAGAGGAAGAGGCTTTATTGCTATGTTTTGAGTGGCTGAAAGATCCAGATATTTCTTTTTAGACATATTAAATTTGATCATGCTACTGGACACCCAAACCTGACACTGCCTCCTAACAACTGTTGTCTCTTTATCTCTGCTACAGTTCATTCTGCACACAGCTGTGGAGTCAGAGGGTACAGAAGGGAAAAAAAGCCTTTTTGTTTTGTTTTGGGCCACACTAGTGCTTGATTCTACTCCTGGCTCTGTGCTCAGGGATCACTCCTAGTGGTACTAGGGAAACCACATGGGAGCCAGGGATCAAACCCAGGTAAGCCCCATGCAAGGCAAGCACCTTAACCCCTACCCCAGAGGTTGTCTCTTTTTTGGGGGGTGGGGGAGAGAGGCACACCAGTGGTGTTTAGGGACTACTCCCAGAAAAGTGTTCAAATTGGGGCCTCCTCGTAGCAATCCAACTGTTTGAGTTATCTCCCTGGCCCAAATATTGTCATTTAAAATCTGTTACTTGAAGATTTTCCTCTTGAGGGCCTGGAGAAATAGTATAGTAGGTAGGTGTTTGCCTTACATCATGCAGCTGACTCAGGTTCAACGCCAACACCACATATGGTTCCTCAAACCTTACCAGAAATAATAGAAAACAAATTGTGTACTGTTGCCATTTCGGCAGATCTGAGTGTTGGGGTAAAATTCCAAATAATAATGGTGGGTCTGCAAATAAAGGATGTTTGGAGGATCCTCCCAGGAGGGGAGATGTATGTCGAAAGTAGACTATGGACTGAACATGTTTGCCACTCAATGCCTCTTTTGCAGACCACAACACCCAAAAGGAGAGAGAGAACACAGGGGATTGCCCTGCCACAGAGGCAGGGGGGGATGGGGGTGTGGGGGATATTATCCATGGTGGTGGAAAATGGGCACTGGTGGAGGGATGGGTATCTGATCATTGTATAATCAAACCCAAGCACAAAAAATTGTAAATCTACAACTTTAAAAAAAAATAAAATACAATAAAGGGGAAAAAAAATAATGGTGGGTCTGTTGTCAAAATATTGAATGTGATCAAAGTAGAGAGAGAGAGTAATGTGGAGGTCATCTGCCCCACAGGTAGGGAGAGGGAGCGGGATTGGGGTATACTGGGGTTTTTGGTGGTGAAGAATGGGCACTGGTGAAGGTACAGGTGTTTTCATTGTATGACCGAGACTTAGACACGAAAGCTTTGTAACTGCTCTCACGGTGATTCAATAAATAAAATTATAAAAAAATGAAAAAAAAAAACACCTTACCAGAAGTCATCCCTGAGCACAGAGCCAGGAGTAAGTCTGGGCACTGCCAAATATGACCTCAAAATAAAACAAACAAGTGAAAAATTTTCCCCTTGGAGCTTCAAGTGTTCAGACTGGCCTGCACTTTGGTAGTGGGAGTGGTGTAGTGACACACCTTGTATACCCCTAAAACAAACATTTAGTCTTATAACCAATATTGCCACAAAACATGAATTCAGGAGTTGAGGGAGGCTCTTCTTGCCTTGGAGATAAATTATTTACCTCAGGCTGGCAACTCTCTTCTTATTCTTTGATTCATTTTTTTTCTTTTTGGTTACACCTCCAAAAAAATGTGCTCAGGGATCACTCCTGGCAGGCTCAGGGGACCATAAGTGGTGTTAGGGATCAAACTTGGCAGAATGCAAGACAAGCACCTGCCCTATGTACTATTGCTCCAACCCTCCTCTTTTTTTTTCTCTCTCCTTTTAGAATCACATCCAGAGATGCCTGGGATGGCACTTTCAAAGATGCCCCAGAAAAAGAGCTCCAGCCCTTTGAACTATCTCCCTGGTCACACTTTCACTCCAGAGTCCAGACTCTTGCAAAGCATAAGCACTTGGTCCTGCCCCAGGACCTTTACTCTGCTTTCCCCTCCACCAGGACCTCCACCAGGACCACCTTTTTTCTGCTCTTCCGATAGTGTGCTCTCCTCTTGGAGAGGCCTCTACAGACAGCATTAACTAAAAGAGTAACCCTCGGGGCTGGAGCAATAGCACAGTGGGGTAGGGTGTTTGCCTTGCACTCAGCCGACCTAGGTTCGATTCCCAGCATCCCATATGGTCCCCTGAGCACTGCCAGGACTAATTCCTGAGAGTGCATGAACCAGGAGTAACTCCTGTGCATCACTGGGTATGACCCAAAAAGCAAAAAAAAAAAAAAAGTGACCCTCTGCCCCACTTCTACAGTTACTATGTCCTCTCATTCTGTTACTCTGCTTTTTTTCATAGACCTCCCCCAACTCCGTTATGTGACTGTTTACTTTGTACATGGCCATTAGCAACTGCCATGATTTTCAGGGTTAGTTTGTTCACTTTCATTTTCCCACCAATTCAGACCCGGAGCTTAATAAACAGCTGAAGAGATGTTTTCTCGGAAAGATAGGGTTTTTCTTTCTTTCTTGGCAGGCGAAATGTGTGTCTTCCAAGCAGTACTCAGGAGGCCCAAGAGCCCAGTTTAGTGCAAGGGCCTGAGGATGCACTGTGGCTCTCTCTGGGGTCGGGGATTATCCAGGCCTCCAGGGTCACCCCAGTGGTGCTGGGGGTAGGGCCTCCACAGCTGTACCTCACTACGCTTAGGAAACCACATGGTGCTGGGGACAGAGGGAGGCGGACTAAGGCATGCCCTCTAACCCCCGTGCTATCTCTCCAGCCCCAGCTCTGTATGCCAGAGTATGTTGCAGAGTTAGAGCCAAGACACGCAGATGACCCCTTCAGGAAGAGTTCCTGGGAAAGGGGAGCCAGCTCTGAATTAGAGCAAAGTACAGGCCCAGATACCTAGTCCACCAGAGAAATTGCTGAGGCCATTTCAGAAGGTGTCTCTTTGGCTTCTTTTTCTATTTGTTTGTTTGGGGGGTAGTATATCCACAGTAGTCAGGGCTTACTCTTGCCTCTGGGCTCAAGGATAACTCCTGGCAGTGCTAGGACCATATGTAGTGTTGGGGATTGAGCCAGGGTTTGATACTGCAAGGCAAGTGCCTTATCTCCTATGTCTATGTCTTCAACCCAAGGGTAAAGTTCTTTTTTTTTTTAATGTAGGAGTACTGCTATTTATTCAGCCACTGATTAAGCTGATTGAAGCAGGCATGAACTCCACATTCCTGTCCTGTCACTGTCCTCCCGTTGTTCATCAATTTGCTCGAGCGGGCCCAGTAACGTCTCCATTGGAGACTTTGTTGTTACTGTGTTTGGCATATTGAATACGTCACGGGGAGCTTGCCAGGCTCTGCCGTGCGGGCGAGATACTCTCGGTAGCTTGCCGGGCTCTCCAAGAGGGGCGGAGGAATCGAACTCCACATTACTTTTTAAAAATTAAAAAATTTTATTTTCATAAAGTTGTTCACAATAATTGTTAACACTCAACATTTCACCACCAATCCCACCACCATTACATCTTCCCACCACCATTATTTCAAATTTTCCTACACCTGCCCCCAAGCCTGCTCATAGGGAAGTGCCAAATAATTTATTTCATATTGCTTGTTATGAATAGTATGAGATCTTGTGGAATTATCCTGGAATGCTCCTGAAATTCTAAATTGTTTTGAATATCTGGGGTCTGGAGGCATCTGTGCATGCTGCTCTCTTCTGAGATTCATTTGTGAGTCTCTGAATCATGGCCGTTAATGTGCTTAAATGGCACCCAGGGGACGTTCCTGGGTGTGACTGCCAGGAAGGGAAGAGAGATGGTGAAGGAGCCCATTCCTCGCTCTGTGAAGTCTGGAGTTTTTAGTCACTAGTCCCGCATATCTGGGTTTTTCAGCGATTCATTCCCATGTGTGGGGGGCAAGGGACAAGCCTGTGAAGGTCAGCTGTGAGCGTGGTGGCGATTGGGTTCTGGAGTTTTGCAGCTGTCGGGGTTCATTTGGGGCAGACGGAGGGACACACCTG